CTGCTGGGCTCCGGCGATCCTTCTGCCTCAGCCTTCCAAGTAGCTGGAACTACAAGCACGTGCCACCATGCTCGACTCAAAAAAAAAATTTATCTAATTTTTATCTTCCACACAGCTTGTTATTCCTGATTGTATACATTCACATTGTTTTAAAGTTTAAAAGTGGCTGTTTTGGCCGGACTCGGTGGCTCTGCCTGTAATCCCAGCACTTTGGGAGGCCGAGGCAAGTGAATTGCCTGAGCCTGCGGATTCGAGACCCGCCTGGGCAACTTGTCAAGACCTCATCTCTACAATAAAGCAAAAACTAGCCAGGCGTGGTAGCGCGCACCTGTAGTTCCGGCTACTTTCAAGGCTGAGGCGGAAGGATCGCCGGAGTCCAGGAGTTCGAGGTGGAAGAATCGCCGGAGCCCAGGAGTTCGAGGCTGCGGTGGCCGGGAGCGGCCACTGCACTCCAGTCTGGGCGACAGAGTGAGACTCCAACTCAAAAAAAAAGTGGTTGTTTTGCCTGGGGAGCGGGCAAGAGAAGTGCCACTCTGATGGAGTTAGGGACGAAAGGATCTTCTGCTGCACAGCCACGACACATCCTATCTGACTCTTAAGTATAAAACCAGCAGCAGGAGCCAGTGCTCACCGTTACTCCCCCTAGAGAACTGTTGATGGGGAAGTTCCTGGACACGTCTGCAGCTTCCATCCTCAGTGTTGAGCTGTAGTTGGCACTGGAGTAAAATAATCGATGCCCTTTCTATCCCTGGGCTGGCCTCACCCTGCCCACTGTTGCCCGGCTCAGCTAGCACCTGAGCCCTCCTCTGGCTTGTGGTCAGGGCCTCGTCTTGGAAACCATCTGAGGAGAGCCTGTGGCATCATCAGGCCTGAGGCACAGCCCGGCCCGCCTCAGAAGCAAGACCAGTCCTCAGCCCATGCTGCTCAGAGGACTGATCATCTCATGAGCTTCAGCATTTCCCCAGCGCCCACGGAGCAGCAGGCTGTCCAGAACACAGACTGGCTCAGACAAGCTGACAGCCTCTGTCCCATGTGTTCACTTGGCCTCTGAGGTCAGGTTTGTTTTGTCACTGTCACACTAGCCACCAGCACTTGTGGCTAGCCCCACGTGCCTGTCCTGATCTGTCCTCTGCTACCCCTGCCTGCCCCACGCACTCACCAAGCATAGGGGCGACTCCACAGTGTTGCTGCCGGCCACCAGAGGCCCTTTGCCTGGGCACAGCGCCAGTCCTTTGGCAGTCACTCCTCTTGTATCTCTCCTTGTCATTCTAATCAGAAAAGTCCCAGTGAAATGTGTTTTCTATAGTTGTGTTTTGGAGTCTCAGAGTTGCCATGGTAGACTTGGCAAATGTGAGTGTTCTCCGAGTGCCAGGCACTGTCGTGGGCACTTCTCTTAACAAACATTTAATCTTTTGTTGTTGTTGAGAAAGCAGGATTTATTAAGAGGACAGAAAAGTTCCCACAGTGGGAGGGGACCTGAGGGGGTTGCCCATTTAATCCTTAACAGCAAGGTTTTGAGGTAAAAATAAATAACTGCAGTTTACAAAAAAAAAGGAATGGGAAGACCAGAGAGGCTAAGTAACTTGTTCAGTGTCAGAATCCAGGCACCTGGCCTTGGGGACTTTATATCTTAAGAGTCTTTGGCTTTAATTTGAACTGTCTCAGTCTGGAAGGCAGCAGGATCTCATCTCCATTTGCAGGAACTCTATTTGCAGCATCCTCTTCAGTCAAGTCCTATCCTGTCAACCCTTAGCTGTCACATCATGTGCCCATTGCTTAAAAGGAAAAGAAGCCCGTTCCTGTGACTCACACCTGTAATCCCAGCACTTTGGGAGGCAGAGGCAAGAGAATTGCCTGAGCCCAGGGGTTCAAGACCAGTCTGGGCAACTTGGCAAGACCTTGTGGCTACAATTAAAAAATAAGCCGGGCATGGTGGCACGTGCCAGTTAGTTCTAGCTACTTGGAAGGCTGAGGTGGAAGGATCGCCTGAACCCCTCAGGTCGAGGATGTGGTGGCCACGAGCGTGCCACTGCACTCTAGCCTGGGTGCCAACTCAAAAAAAAAATAAAAAGAGGAAAAGGCCTCCCCCAAGTTCCTACTGTTTCTACTTTCCACCTTGTCCCAATCTTTGACAGACCTCAGCAAGTGGAAATTGAGTTTTTATTTTGTGACTGGGTATGGTGGTTCACACCTGTAATCCCAGCACTTTGAAAGGCCAAGACGAGAGAATTGCCTAGTCATTCGAGACCAAGTCTGGACGACTTGGCAAGACTTCTTCTATACAATAAATTTTGTAAAAATTAAGGGTGTGGTGGTACATACCTGTAGTTCTACCTACTTGGAAGACTGAGGCAGAAGGATCACCTGAGCCCAGAAAGTCAAGGCTGCAGTAGCCATGATCTTGCAACTGCTCTCCAGTCTGGGCGATGGAGTGAGACGCAAAAATGAACAAACAAAAAATTCTGGTTTGGGGTGGAGTCCGATTACTGGAAGATGTTCCCACTGTCTCCAAGCCCCAAGGTGAGAAGGGTCAGCTAGAGACAGGACAGAAGCCCATAGACCACTGCCCAGGATGTGGTCTCCTACTCTGGTCATTTCACCTCTGCCTGGTGGAACTTTGGACAGGGTAGAAGGCTGCTCCCTATCTTCTAAGTGGAGCTTAATTAGATTGTAATGGGAGAAAAAATGTAATTCCTTCCTGTGAACCCTACAAAATCTGGTCTTTTAGAGGGCAACATGCTTCTGGCTACCAGGCCCCACACCCATGACTTTGATACCTTCAGCCGTGGAGACACTAACTTCCTTCTCTCCCCAAACTCTCCATCTTGGGGAGAAGCAGGCACAGGCAGACCCCAGGTACCTACCTAGCCCTTGCCCTCAACTCCAGCCCTTCATGAAGCCCTCGGGGTTCAGGCCTTACATGGACCAGAGGCTGCGCCCTGGGGGCCTCTGGTACACCCCACCTTTGGCCCTGAACCGGATGAAAGCTGAGGACCCTTGGCCCATCTGGCATTCTTTCCACCCTTTCAAAAGTTCGTGGATTCCCTAACGGGGTCACGAACTCCAGGTTCAGAGCAACAAGCCAGCCCCCCCCCCCCCCCCCCCCCGGGGGG